GAATGTAATGTACTTTTAAAATATTACTTTTTTATTTTTATGATAAATTCGGTTTCTTTCAAAGAGCTACTGACCGTTTTTGTGCTACAGAATGTATTATATTTTTGGTATCGAATTTTACTTTACCGCGTCATACATCTGATCATCTGTTTGTATTATTTTTTAGTGAAATATACCTAGAGAATGCATTTAAAAGATGCATCAATAATAGAACTTCATCAATAATAGTAAGATAATAGGGAGTTTTTGCAATAACGTGGATCGAGATACGATGTACACGCACCGGCAGGAATGGTGTCCCTTGGCGTTCGGCGCGCGACGCTACACACTCGTACCGAAGTTCACACGCACGTGTTACTGGAAACGCGGAGGAGGCGAGGAGCGCGAAGGAAGAAAGTAGTGGGGGGCGCTCCGATATTCCGTCCTTAGCGTAAGACGCACGATTGAGAGAGAAAGCGTAATTGGACGTGATATCGGCTCGCGGTGTCCTTTCGCTGTTTCACACATTTGTTACTAGCGCGAGTGAGATCCCCCGGTGTCTCCCGCTCGCCAATATTCATAATATTTTTATTATGCACAAAATGATATAATTATGCATAAAAATTCTTAATACTGTAAAAAATTTTTGTGCATAATTACGTGTAATTTTGAGACTCATTGTAATAGCTTACATGCTTCCAGTAACACGTACGTGTGAACTTCGGTACGGGTGTGTAGCGTCGCGCGCCGAACGCCGAGGGACACCATTCCTGCCGGTGCGTGTACGTTAGTAGAGTCACGTTATCCTTTTCTTAATTAGTCGCTAAGAAGAAGAAGATAACGTGAACGTGATGGCATCGATTATGTATATCTTATTCTCTAGGGCGGAAACGTGAAAAATGAAAAGTTTTTGTATGTATGTGTATGTATAACATATATGTATACACATATATACAGGGTGTCTCAGAAAACGCGTTTGTCTTTAAAATAATGTATTCCTGACGTGGTTCTAAGACATTTCTTCCTTAGTCAAAATTTTATCCGAAGCTTAGTTTTTTAAATACAAGGGAAAAAAGTTAGCAAATCACGGGTCGCGTACGGAAGGTAG